CTGCCACGGAGCGCAGACAACAAGAGCGTATATAATAGACCGGCGCTGTTCACCACGACGACGACCAAACACTAGGCGCAGGTTGCCCTTGATTTTGATCTTCGAAGCCCACATTTGCTGTCGCAAAGCACGCCCGCGACAGACGCACGTACATCGCAATTCCACTTAGGACAAGGTCTTTGCCCAGCTGGCTAGACCAGCGTAACTTTCAACGATAGAGTGATTCAATTCTCCCGCCCTTCCAAGTAACGCAACATAATGACAACCGCGGTAAGTCAAACATGCCCCCTTAAGCGAGCGACAGTCTACAACTGGGAAGGGAGGATGGAGCAGAGGGAGGCGAGGGGCGTGAGTCGTCCGAGGCCGCGCGCCCGCAAGACCGGTCCCTAGCGCACCAGCGATTCAAAGGCTTGATTCGCTGGCTCGGCACGGAAGCCCCAAGCCTGTGCGACGCTGACGCAGGTTGAACTTTCCATCCTCGCAACGCTGCCTCTACATCTCCATTGCTCATGTGCAATCCGCTGCTCGATTACTGACGCTGGCGCTCGTTTTACTAGGCACGAGCACGAGGCTTCGGAAACTTCAACATGAACAACACACGAGACGACAACCCCGCCAAGGGTATGGCGTCTTTCCGCCCGTCGACAAAGGGCATTTGGGAGAATGCCTACCAAGGGAGCAAGCGAGGTACGTCTCTCACTGCAGGCAATGCAGCGCATCTACCGCGCAGCTTGGCTAACACTCCGCCGTCGTAGCATCCGACAACGCCCTGCCCACAGGGTCTGGTGCTCTCATTCCCGATTCGCAAGCCGACACCTCTGCGTGGACCACGACGCGGCCGTGGAACCCCGACTCCACGCAAACCAGATCGACGTCAGGCAGCACGTCGCCCACCCGTACACGCGACAACCTCTTCTTCGATAATCCCAACGGAGCGTTCGGCCAAGCGCGTTTCGCAAATGGACGACCCAAGTCGTTCCTCGAGGAGGAGAAGGAGAACTCGAGCTACGGTCCCAACTTTGGCGCCTACGAGGCGGAGCGCGGTTTCGCCAGGCACGAGAAGCGCGGCTCGCAGGAACGCACGTTCATGACCATGGGGGCCGTTGGCGCCCCGCCCTCCCGAGATGGCAGCATTCCTCCTTCGAGGCACTCGGAGGAGTCTCACCACTCGCCTCCCGCATTCCGAGACACATTTGGCTATCCCTCCGGACATACGCCCAGCAACTCCATTGCCTCTCATGCCCAGCGTCCCTCCATTCCTGGCCACTCCTCGTCCTTCCCTTCACAGAGCAACACAACAAACAACAACAATAACAGCCGAAGTTACATGACCAACGGCAGGATGGATGAAGCAGACTTGTCGAGCCAGTTCAGCAAAGGCCTCAGCCTTGATGATACCGCTGCGCTGTCGCAGGTCCTGTCCAACGGCGGCAACGGGCAGTCGTTCCAGCTCAACCCTGGATCGCAGCCCTGGCTTGGTGGTTTCAGCCAGCATGCCCCCGACGTGTACAGCGACTACATGACGCAGTATTTGGCCAGCAAGCGCCCGTCTGTCGACCGCTACTCCCCGGCTCCCGCCGCCTACCGTGTCGCCAACGTGCCCAAGTCGTACTCCCCGCATCCCACCGATCCTTGGAGCCAGCGAGCGGCCCACCGGGATCCGAGAATGGTACCCGACTCGGAGAGGCGTACCCCCGCGCCCTACATGCAACCCCAGGCTCAACCCTTCTTCCCTGGACCGTACTACACGGGCCAGTATCCCGCACAGTTCCCACCCAATCTGTACGACTTCGCTGCCCGGGCGCCCATGATTCCTGGCTATGGTCTGCCCATGGGCTACCCTCTAACGGGACACATCCCCGTGCGGCCCGCCAAGGACCAAGACTCTGGCAAAGGCGTGCGCAGCGTGCTTTTGGAAGAATTCAGGTCAAGTTCAAAGTCGAACAAGCGTTACGATCTGAAGGACATCTATGGCCACGTTGTTGAGTTCAGTGGCGACCAACACGGCTCCAGGTTTATCCAGCAGAAGCTCGAGACGGCCAACAGCGACGAGAAGGACCAGATCTTCCGCGAGATCGAGCCAAACGCCGTTCAGCTGATGAAGGACGTGTTCGGCAACTACGTCATCCAGAAATTCTTTGAACACGGCAATCAGGTTCAGAAGAAGGTGCTGGCTGCGCAGATGAAAGGCAAGGTTGTGGATCTGTCGATGCAGATGTACGCCTGTCGCGTAGTACAAAAGGTATGTCAGCGCTGGCGTCGCCCAGTACGAACCAAACTAACTCGGACAGGCTCTTGAGCACGTGCTCGTCGAGCAGCAGGCGGAGCTGGTTGATGAGCTCCAGCCTGACATCGTCAAGGTTGTCAAGGACCAGAACGGTAACCACGTTGTCCAGAAGGTCATCGAGCTGGTCCCCCGTCAGTATATCGACTTTGTCATGGATTCTTTCCGCGGCCAGGTCAGCCAGCTCGCTGCGCACACGTATGGGTGCCGTGTCATTCAGCGCATGCTCGAGTACGGCACAGACCAAGACAAGGAGGTCATTCTCACAGAGCTCCACAACTCGGCCCAGGTCCTGATCACCGATCAATACGGCAACTATGTCACCCAGCATGTCATTCAGCATGGCAAGCCCGAAGACCGGGCCAAGATGATTCATCTGGTTACGTCACAGCTGGTGACTCTGTCGAAGCACAAGTTTGCGTCCAACGTTGTTGAGAAGTGCATCGAACATGGCTCACCCGAGGAGCGCAAGTCGATCCGCGAGCAGCTCACCACCATGGGACCCGATGGCACCAGCCCCCTCCAGCTGATGATGAAGGATCAGTATGGCAACTATGTGATCCAGAAGCTTCTCAACCAGCTTGATGGTGGCGATCGCGAAGCCTTCATCGAGGAAATGAAGCCCCAGTTCATCGCCCTAAAGAAGACCAGCACTGGTCGCCAGATCGCTGCGATCGACCGCCTCATCTTCGCCGCTTCTTCCCCCGCTCCTCCCCGTCCAGGCAGTAGCAAGGCGATGTCTGGACAGAACACGCCTGCTCTGCAGGTTGATTCGTCAGCCCCCACACCTGTTCTGACGATGGAGCCCAACAGCCCTCAGAGCAGCAGCCCGCCCAGCACGAACGCGAGCGCCGTCGGCGAGACAGCCGAGGAGGACCGCAAGGCCCAGCTCCACCCAGGCGGTGCTAGCCTCCAGGTGCAGGTCGAGGATGCCTAAAGCATCCCCGCCGTATTATTTCCCGTTGGATCTCCATAACAGTCCATGAACCATGGGTTTTTTCGACAATGTATTACAACATTACTTGGCTGTGTCACTGGCAAGCACCTCTGACAGCCGTTACCGGCCACCACGCCTGGCCCCGATTTGCGGGCATGGCGTCACTACACTTCCTAATCACATGTTCACGACAGTTTCACTTTGAATTTACGGCCTCGAATATTGCGAGAGAACTGGACAATATAGCCATTACAACAACTTGCCCGGAGCATGAGGCGGCCGGGCTCTCCGGACAGCAAAACTCACACGGCGCAAGACGATACGGATTCTATTTTTTTCCTCTTTCATCTACCACGTGTTCTTTTGGGTTTCATTGTCTCACCGTGAGATCGAGGGGTATGTCGGGCAGTCCTTCATAACGGTCTTGGGGTTTGGGTATGGAAGGTGCTTGGTGGCCCTGTTACGGCTGCCACGATGGGTTGAACGGTTTGGCTGGGACATTAAAATGGTATACACTAGTAGCTGGGAGGGGGGGTGCACTGGTACATGGGAATATGTAGTAATGGCGTGTCTAGCATTGATAGCCGCATTGACATATGATGCCAATCTCGGTTCGTGTAGTACCACTGCAGTATGCAAATCAAGATCACGTCAGTATACCTTGACCTGTGCGAAGAGCTCTAGCACCCTCCGTGAGAGCATTGCGTCGGGCAAGCTAGCGTCTCAGCCCAGCGTGGAATGCGTAGCTGGCAGCTCGTCCAGCAAGTGCATTTATTGTAAATACGACCAAGGGGCTTATCTCTCCGTGGATACGCCGAAACCTCTCTCGGTGCCTGCTAATACAAGAAGATTGCCAAACCTCTCAGGGGCCTGGCCGAGTATACCTAGCGCCGAGTAACGATTAATCTGACAGAGCAGCTCGACCAACCTAATAAACCATGACCCTAAGCAACGTACCCGATACCTCGCCCATCGAGACGTCCTCGACTCGCGCCCTGCCAGCCCTCCGCAGTCCTGATATGCACGTTTTCGTAACCCTTGGCCCCTGAACAACCGCAGGGCTCCCTGACATGAAGCCTCTTTCTGTCGATGCTATAGAGTAACCTATTGCCGTTCGCTAGCCGGCGTACACTACCTATTGCAAGGGAGCCGATGCCCAGGACTCTGCCATCTACGATTGGGCGTACGAGCTGTACGATCGGCCCTCAAAGGCGAAGACGAAAACGGACAGGGCGAAACACTGTCGGCGAACAAAAAATGAAGTCATCACGAGTTCCAGGGAACGAGACCTCCTGGAGGGGTGGGGGGGGGGGCAATGTGAGGGGTTATACTTTGGACGTTGAGCGGCGCCTTCTCACCGATCGACCAGCAATAAGATACCGTTCATAAGCAAAGTCGAGGCTGTACACAATAGCACCGACAAGTTGAAGTCACAGTACCAGCACGCCGATTGAAATACGAACCATCTGCTTTCCCTGATCCAGGCCCTTGGCCTGATACCTTTATATTCTTCAACTTCACTCACGCAATCGATCAACAAATGCAACGAGAGCAGGCCATGTGTGAGTCATATGATTGACTGGACTACAGGGCTAACCAACAAGAAGGGCACATCGCAACATAGGCCATCGCCGTCCTGTTCACTTGCACTCCCGATGACAACCATGCTTTGCCGTTTTCCGGCGCGCCTCCCGTAGCCCACACCACCCGGCAGTCCATGTCCCCCGGCGCCCTCCGATGGTATCGTCGACATCCAGCAGTCCTGGTTGTTTCCTGGTATCAAACACCAAGAGTTCCATCCGGCTTGCTGTCGCGGGGGGTATCTTCCATGGCTTCGAAGAAGAAGCCCAGCAGAGCCTGCAGCGTCAACTGCCCTCCCGAATAGCTCCTATCGTTGTCCTGTAATAACGGCCGGTCGTCAGTAGGGATCTCCTCGGCAGGCCCGCGGCGGCCACCGGAATTGACAGGCTGCTGCCCGGTCGCGCAACGTACCAACAGCATGTCCGGGTGGCCTTCCAGCATGGCAGGCGCGCCGTTGGCCGTGACTCCATCCTTGGAAGTGACTTCGCTTTCGCCGATGGTGCGGACCTCGAAATGAACACCGCCATGGCGGCCCGCACTCTTCACTGCGCCGAATAGCACCATGACCTGATGCACCGGGTGTAGCATGTGCTTGGCAGACTCTCGGACGACATCGCTTTCGCTGATCGATGCGGAGTGAACGGTCACGAGGTGATGTTCGGTGTTCAGGCGGGTTCAGATCTGTTGAACGTTGTTCGCGAGCTCGCCCGAAGGGGCCCGCTGCTGGGTGACGTTATAAAAGCTGGCGTAGATGCGGAGGTAGTCTTCGACCGGCCGCTCCAAAGCCACGACGGCAGGCTTCATTAGCTCGGCGGACCAACTGGTACTGCTCTGGGGAGCGCTATGTAGGGGCGGATCGTCGGTGTCTTCCTTGAAGAGTTTCTCGGGGCGAATCCGATCGTGGACGAGGCTGAGGATTGTGACGGCAGACGCCAAGGCCATTCTGGCGTTGGCAGGCTTGATTCGGTTTTCTCTTCATCAGCTTTCAATGACATGGAGGCTTGCGACAAGAGAAAGGCTGACGTCAAAGATGATACTCACGTTGTTTGCTTGAAGACGAGCCAGACTTTGATAAGCAGGAGTCATAGTGAGCAGAAGATATATCGAGCAGGTGCCGGAAAGCGTGGAAGCTCGAAGCTGCGAGAACCCGGCATCTTGGAAAGGCAGCTATCCTAGTCAGGGTGTCCGAGCATTCCCTGTTTGTACAACCCAACAAAAAACACGAAAAAGGGCAGGTTGTGAATGGAGATGCTGGAAACTCCTCGAGAATGGTCATGAACCGGCCATTACAGGCTGCCAATTATCTTATGACGGAAGGCAGTAGGGACGTATAGTGAATGGAAAGGCAGTGAATCAAAGAACTCAGGTGACAGTCTCTCGCCTCCCTGCCTACGTTTATGGAGCCCGGTATGGCCTGCCTTACTTTGCTTCCGCGACTGATTTCCACTGAGTTGATCAGATCTCAAGACAGAAACAGAAACACTTTAGATACGGCATGTCAATATATAGTGTAGGATATCAGGGCCTCTAATCATAGATATTTAAATGAACGAAACTCTACTGACATAAATTGCACATGTTGAGAAGCGACGGCGAGCGGCGGGCAACTTGCGAGGCTTAAACTCACTCTTCCTTCCCCGTGACACAATGAGCAACCCAAGACATTCATCCAGGTATCTGAATACCTGGGGCGCCCTACACGCCAGACATACAATTGTCGTCCGCACGCCTCTTGATATTGAACGCGCCTTCCCCTCCACAAGAAACAATACTTTCCACGTTGCCTTCTTGGCCTTCACTGTCTGACAGCAACTCATTTTTCTCTTTTGCTGACATCTTGCTTTTACTGACAACTTGACCTTTTGCCAGCAGGGTCGTCCTCTTCATCACCTCTTCCAGCCTACTTCAGCACCTCCCAAGACCTTAGCCATACGAACGCAAGACTTGTCAGGTCGCGCCTTCCATACGATACCCCCTGACCCGGTTCTCGCTGACTTACCTCCTGCTCTAGCGACATGGTCATGGCCAACCATCCGTGGATGCCTCCTTTGGACACCTACCACGCTCAAGACTTCGCCTAGCACCAAGGCAGCAAGTTGATGATCACTCCCCACGAGGCGCCTGAACCATTCGATGGTCCTTCCTACTATCGCCCGTCTGATCCCTCTTCGACTTTCGATGGCGATGCCTTGATCAAGCAGCACAAGACAAGAAGCCAGCTGGTCGCCGAGTGTCTTCCCCGTGGTGTCTCATGGGCAACGGATGATGGTGCCAAGTCTTCTCAGCACATCGGTCTGACCATCGAGAAGACCATAAGACCACCAAGGAGAGGGGCTCACAGGTTGTCGTTTGTCAACTCAATCTGGGCCAGATGAACAAAGGCATCCCAGCTCGCGTTGTTGCCAAGATCTACAACCCGCTCTACTACCCTTTCCTGGGCTGTGCTCTCCCGTATGCCAGCGATGTTGTCACGCAGGCGGACATTGATCTCAGCAGGGAGGCCGCCGTCGTCGTCTACCAGCACTTCAAGACGATGGGGACGGACGGCCAATTCGCACCAAAGTACTACGGCGCCTGCACGATGCCCATGCGCAGCCACATCGCGGGCAAGTATAGACCCGTGTGCCTCATTCTCCTGTGGTACACTGACGGCTCGACGATGCGTGCATTGTGTACCGTGCCGTACAACCGCATCCCTGCGCTTGTCCCGGGCCCTCATGCGATAAACGATACCCAGCGCATGCTAGTCATGAAAGAACTTTTTGACATGGAGTCAAAAAAATGCGACACACTGGAGTCGTTTACGGTAACATCATGCCCGAGCACGTCATGATCTCTTGCCCACCGCCAGCCAATGTCGTCAACGCAGTATCGAAATCCCGCGTCGTCATCATTGGTGGTTGGAAGCTTGCCACCGTTGGGTGCAAGGAAGTCAACTACACACCGGTGGTCGAACTACTGCCACACCCCGTCTCACCCATCGACTGGTACGCAGTCGACGAAATCGACCAATTCGAGGGATGAATTCATCTAGACTACTTCAAGGACGAGCAAAAGTTCACTGCTTGGCTCGAAGAAGATTTCGGGGGCGAGAACGCGAAGAACTACTGTCGGCAGAGGGATTTTGACAACATCAAGACTCCGAGCTCTTTGAATGGCCGAGCGACCACAAAGACTGCAGAGCTTGTCGGGAACGTTGGCAGCTAGAAGTCGCCAAAGAACGACGAGGCCCTCAACGTGTCGGGCTCATCTTGGTCGCATCCTGAAGATGAGATCTCCGAGGAGGACCCGGACCAGACTACACGCTCTGCATCTCTGAAGTCGTGTAGCAGATGCGGGCCAGACCATACACTCTCCATTCCTGTAGTCGCGTAGCGGATGCGAGGGGCCTGCACAAAACTGCTGTGCTGGAGACAGTGGGGAGGGACGTTGGGGGGGGGGGGGGCGGCAGGAAGTAGCATCGAGAGAACATCGGTTTCGCCCCCAAAGACCATTGGGTCTGCCATGGCGTGACATGTCGCAAGTCCATTGCCGGTTGACAGTGGTGCTGCTAATTCTTCTTCTTCTTCAAAAGTTCTTCGAAAGATCTTCAAAGTCCTCAGAAGAGAGCGTCATGTTGATTACCATGCTGGTTGACCCGCTCCCGCTGCCACGTGATTGATCCCTCTCCGCCTTAGCGGTCATCGGACCGACCCAACCAGAGGCAAGTGCCGAGTCTCGATCCATGTTTGTCCAACGTCATGGTCAAGGCATGGCTCAGCCATTCCTTTTCGAACACCCGCACACAACACAACCATGTCGACAGTGCGCCTGACCTTTCTCTACCCGCCTCTGTTCCGTCCTCTACGGGTCGGCACCGGCGTTGCCCAGGCCACAAGGTCATGCCGCAAGCGCTACGCCGACCCCAAACGCCACCGCGCCGTCTTCTCGACAGCCTTCGCACCGCGTGCCCCCGTCGCCCGCCGCCACGGCAAGGCCGTCGAGCCTCTGCCCGCGCCGGCTGAAGATGACGAGATGAGGCCTCCCCTCGCGCCTCCGAGCCCCGAAGCGCTCACCAAGGACCCGGAGCTCGCCAACGCCGCCGCCGCCGCCGCCACCACCACCACGATCACCGAGCCAGCCGCCGAGGCACAGCCGCCACCTCCAACAGCAAAGGCCCCCGCCGACACCAACGCCGAGTCCGACGTCGAAGGCAAGGATGCGGCCGCGTCCGACTCCCGCGAGGAGGCGCGCCAGGATGCGAAGAAGAGCGGACCGCTGGAGGCCATGCTGCAGATGCCCGACCCCGGCACCGAGGAGGGCGGCGCGCGGCAGCACCCTCACCTGTCGCCGCCGCCCTACGTTCACCACTTTGACAGCTACTCGCTCGTGCGGCAGCTCCAGGCCGGCGGGTACACCGAGGTGCAGGCCACGTCGGTGATGAAGGCCGTGCGGCGGATCCTGGCGCAGAACCTGGACGTGGCGCAGGACAGCCTCGTCAGCAAGAGCGACGTCGAGAACGTGAGTGGACGTGGCTGCCTCCGGGAGGGGGCGCCGCGCATTTGTCGGCGCCGCGCGAGAGCAGGGCTGAACCTGTGCTGACACAGTTCGATAGGAGACGTATTTGTTCCGCGCCGCGTGCTCGGAGCTCAGCACCGAGGTCAAGAACAACCAGCGCATCGCCGACGAGGAGATGAGGCAGCAGCGGACCCTGCTGCAGCACGAGGTGGACATCCTGACGCAGTCGCTGAGCCAGGAGGTCCTCACGCTGAACGACAATGTGCGCGGCATGTTCAACGACCGCAAGATTGCCGTGAGCGAGGAGCAGAAGGGCGTCGACAGCATTGTACGTACCGCGGCCCCCCTCCCTCTCTCTCTGTGCAGCAGAGAACACCCTGTCGGACACTGACACAGGCCTGCAGATTCAGCAGATCAACTACAAGATCAGCATCTCGTTGAGCAGCGACGCCAAGTCGGAGATCGAAGGCCTGCGCTGGGTGCTCATCCGGCGATCGGTCCTGGGTATCCTCTTCATGGCCGTGCTGACGCTGGGCACGCTTCGGTATGGCACCTATGTGAGCCACGAGAACAAGAGGGAGGCCGAGCGGCTGAAGAGGCAGGCTGAGGTGCTGCGGGCGTCAGATGGCAAGCGAGACCACAGCTCCGCGCCGGATGCGGCGGAGATCTTGGCGGCGAGCTAGACAGGCCTGCTTGTCGGTGTACGATAGCCACGGTGCGGTATGATGATACCCTTAGACGGACCGCACAGAACTTGATCGATCTAGATGGAAATTTTACTTGAGTCTATAGACGCCATTTCCTTTTGGCAGGCAGGCAGGCATGCATGTGAGTGACAGGGCACGAAAGACGCCCGCCGTGAGCCGATGTCACCCCAGCAATCAAGGCAATGACTAGGTGCCGTAGGGCGCCAGGGTCAGTCGTGCGATGAGGCTGGCACGTCTCCGTCCCCCCGCCTCCCCGTCAAGACGTGACGTGCTTTTTGGGGAGCAATCTTAGGACACGGACGCGCGTGGTGGATCACCGTCCCGAACGCCTACCGAGAGAAACAAAAAGCCATGCCCCAAACAGCCGCCAAGGCAGGCTTGACGTTGTTTGTGCTCCTGAACACCCCCAACCAGGTCTTCTCAAGCGGCTCGGCACATTGCAACACGGCGACCCCTCGTAGTTGTTGAGCCCCTTCCGCTGCTCGCTACTGCAACACCATGCAGACCCATGTTCTGCACCACATTCGAACTGCCAACGCAACCAAACAGGTCACCGAGCAGCGCACAAGTCGGCACGCTGTCTGTGCTTTTCGGTTGGACGTGTACCATGGCTGCTGTCAAGAAGGGCACCAACGGCCGAGTGCACCCCTCCCTGGCTAGGGTAGCTTGAGCCCGCAGAGGAGACTGCAAGGTCTTGATGGCGCCGATCTCCAATGAGCCGGTTTCCTTCCTCAGCCCTCTGACCCTTCTCTTCGCTCAATGGCACCCCTTGCTGCGTGATGCCTGAGACACACTGACCTCCAGTGTGAGACCTTCCTTTTACAGAGGCTGTAGATAGCCTTGTTGAGCGGAAGCATGGTTCCCAGTCGCCTCCCAAGGCAGGGCCCTCCTCCTAATGCGCCTGATGAGGTAGCCGCGCCACCTTCCACAGTAGTTTGAGACTTCAAGGATGAGTGGCAAACCAAGGAGGGGCTCGCAAATGGAGTGAAGTAGCGCACGAGTTGTGCTCCACCCAACACGCATGTAGAATTGAAGTTCTGACCATCAACCTGCCTTCAGTGGCCTCACCCCACACACCCATCTCATCGGGGTTAGGAGAGACAATGGCTCTTTATACAGGGCAAGGGCCATCTCGCATACAGGCCAGAGGGCGCTCTCCGGACAAACGAGGAGACGTGATCCCGATTTGAGAGACGAACGCTCAAGGAAGATGGCAGCTCGTTGTATCCCTAACAGTGGGAAAATGAAGCAATGAGATCGAGTCACGATCAATGCCGTACTTCGAACGCCATCATGCCCAGGAATTGCTGAAGAAAACACGCGAACGCAGAGCAGAGCACTACAGCTGCAGTCGTGCCCGCGGATTCTCACCGGTTTGCCGGCGTCTGAAACCTGACGGCCTCAGTCATCGAACACCCGAGGAATCGATGGCAGCTTTCGTCCTCGGTGGCGCCTCCTGCCCACATTGCCAATACAAAAGAAATCCCCCAGATTAAAGATATTGACTAATCTTTTTGAAGCTCAACGTCACTCGTCGCCAGCCCCGTGCACGTCCGTCCAATTCATCCTGCGCACACAATCGTGCATGACACTATTGGGATGAATCTCTGCCGTCCGCACGTTTGAGTGCCAACAAAACACGACGGCCGGCCCCCAAATGCTACCAACCCAGGGTTCCGGCTGGGAATAGGAGTGCCCCCCTTGTGATAGTAAGTCCCTGGTAAAACTTTCGTCTCTGGTGGCGTCGACGGTAGTACAGGGTATTGTGGCAGATCGTAGCACATGAGCCCCGAACCCGCTTGACCCGTCCACCCCGGCTTGTATCTGGACTCGTACACGGGCACATTCCTGGTCATATCTCAAGCTAGCCAGCTTTCATGAGTTCTGACCATCATAACCCATTCTGTCTTTACCTTCTTGCGGAGTCAACCAGGGCCTGCCCGGGCGGTCCTGGCGTGATCGACATGCCCTGGTCTGATCCGTCTCTGCCGCCCATCCTGCCCAGATGATGATCAGAACGCTCTTGTTGCGGGAACGACCAGGTCCATGGCGGGACGGGAGGCGTTAGTGTCCCCTATCCCCGGTCGCTGCGCTCGCCAGTCTTGCGGAGCGCACAGAAAAGGCCCACGACGTGTCTGGTGGGCGTTGTGCCCACGATGAGAAAGGAGAAAACGCAACGGGGACAGCTGAAGTCGGTGAACTTGACGAAGAACAATAAGGAAACATAAAATCCGAGGTGCACCCTCACTCCAGATGACATGAGATGGACAATGAGTTTCAGCATTATGCTCCCCCTTGACAACTCCAGAAGCTCTCATCCTACTCGTCTCTGCCCTCCCCATACCCATTACTTCGAGCACAGCAATCCTCAGCCATGCGGGATTCTTCCGGTCAACAAACATCATCGCCAGCGAAACCCTCCCACAGCGGGACCCAAAGGGCTGGCAGCGGGACCCAAAGGGCTGGCAGCGGGACCCAAAGGGCTGACAGCGGGACAATGGGGCCAAACGGGCCCTCTGATCCCAGCGGCCAGGGCTGGGCTGCAGACGGCACCATCGCGACCATACCTATCAATGATGTGCACGGAGCTATCGATTACACAACCTTGAACTATGACGGAGACGCGTGCTGCCCTGGCTCGGACGAAGATGGCCTGCGCAAGGGCAGCCCCCCCACCCGGCCTGGTACTCCATGGTCGTCCTCTCGCCAACACGCAGGCACCGGAACCTCAGGTCAAATCGCCGGTCAGCTCATGCCCATCCTCGAGGAGGAGGAGGAGGAGGGGGTGGATCCACCCCCTGTTTCTGCCGTTGGCAAGGATACAGCGGACGACAAGGAAGCCTAGGAGAGCCCGACGGTTCGCGGCTCGCCCACCACGCAGGAACAAGGCAACCAGACCGGGGCACCGGGATCGTAGGGCTCCCTTCTCAGCTCCCTTCTTGCTGGTCTTCTGCTGACTCTTTGCCGATCGGTGTAGTCTGAGAAAGCTATTGGCTCTCGCTCTGAAACTGACAAGTGTGCCGCTGCATGGTGGATGGCACGGCGACGGCAAGACGTGGTGGAATGCCCTGAGGACTCCCGCAGAATAGGCTAGCAAGAGTTAATGACCAGTACCCTGTTTGTCACCCTGTTTTGCCGCATGATCTTGAGCGCGGAAGAATCTCTACGTTAGGCTGTTTCGTACTTGCCTCATAGAGGAGTGGATTGGGGTACACAAATGGACAAAAGGCTTCGCTGCGGCCAACGCAATTGTTAGCGCGCATATAGCACAAGACATGAACGTACTACAAATTAGTACAGCCAAGGCTGAGCAGCGACAGGGTCGTTGTCCCTTTCGAACCTGGCGGCGAGCCCCCCCCGTCCACATGTTCAACTTCTGAAGGAACCTTACGCCTTTTCTTGTTTCCCGTTTCTCGCGTGAATTCTTTGTAGTCGTCAAGGAAAGCGCATGGCGTGCTGATAGAATGGAGGTGATTTCTGATTTCGAGGGGCGAGGGAATGTTGCTGGGTTCGAGGGGTGCTCCTGCGGTGTCTGTCTCAACCAACAAATCAGGCCGGCATGGCTATTGCCTGACAGCCTCTCTTCTCACCAAGAAAGTCTCGAGTGCCTGGCTCGAATGCCCTGGTTACGGCCGCTTGGATCTGGCTGTTGTGACGGGAGACTATGGACTCGGGTGAGTGCAGGGTTCGAGCAGGGAGGGAGGGGTCACATCGAGGTTGCTACTTCTGTTCTACAGCGCCAGCCGGTCAAAGACCCGCTTCCTCGCCCGACTACAGAGAGTGTATTGTGAGCGGTGAGCACGCCGGTGTCGCGGACGCCGTGCAAGGAAGTTAGGGGAATTATAAGGGGGGCGGGCAATCTCATCCAGCTTTCACAATACGCTGACGGCGAAACAAAGAGACGTACCTCAGCTGTCAGAGCACAAACCTTTTCGAGGATTTCGAGGACCCTAGTCCTGGTCATGAATGTTAAGGTGACTAGGGTACAATACACGCCAACTTTTAGGCCGGCTGATCAGGGCTGCTAGAAAGAGATGACATCGGGCGGCAAGGGCTGGTACCATGTACGTCGTGACGATTGCGGTCCTGTGAGACCCAGACTTGAGTTGCTTCCGTCCCTGACAGGCTTGTGGGGGCGTGACATAGGCCCCAAAAGAAGAGATAAGTGGATAGACACCCAGCAACATACAGAGAGTCGATGATATTTACGGCACATTCTGAGCTCGAGGAGCATTCGACGTCTGCGGGTGCTTTTGTTCGCTGGAGATGTACTTTTGACCCTCTTCTCTGCAGTGCGTAATGTGGCAGCCTGTTCGTCGAACGAAATGCACGTCAAAAAAAGGGGGCGAGGCGTCAGAGGCCTGTACTGAACACGGAAACTGGATTGTTGTCACGCTGGGTCGCGAAAGAAGCCCAACAAAAATGTGGGCAATGGCCAGGAGAAGGCCTCGCGGGCTGCGGCCATCACCTCATGTGCATCTTGGTCTTCCTGACCTGCCTTGCAGAAAGGGGTTAGCCCTTGCGACTTGCCGGCCCCCCATTGCTTGAAGCGCTCGTGGGGCGTTCCGTTTTCAGTGACGTTGGAGTACCTGCGGTGGGTTGCCAAGGGACCCTAGGCGCTCAGATGTCCTGCACCGCAAGTGACTTCAGATTGACCAAGGGGAGATGATCGGCCTTGTGACTCGGCATGCTGTTCAATGGCTGACAGGAGGGAGGGAAAAGAAAAGAGACAAATCTTCAGAGCTTGAGCTTTCGCATCCGTGTCGACGGACCTGTTGAGAAGGTTGGGGGCTGTCGGACCAGGCTCAGGACACTGAGAGGCCGCTTGGATGCAGAGAGAAAGAGGGCGAGAGAAACCAATGGAAAAAAAATTCCTGACGTGTTCACCGTCACCTTACCAAAGGCAGAAGAGAGCCGCCAACCAAAACTGTTCAGGCTGTCTGCCTTGCGTGGTGTGGCCATCAACGCCCCGACCAGCCGCTGAACCGGCCAGCCTTTTCCCCCTTTGACCTGACTTGCCCAAATCAACGTGTGCCAGACTGGATCCAGTCGTTTTATTGCCAGAAGGTCGATGTTTTCCACCTCCTCTCTTGCACAAATCTCGTACTCTTCGTTTCCTGCGTGCGAACAGTGGCGGCTGCCTTGACGTTGAAAGAAGTCTTTCTCGTCGTCTCGTAGCGTCAACCTAGACCGATCTAACAGCAACGCCCGCTTGTCGAAAGGTGAGGAACATCTGTCGCGAGGGTATCAAGCCTCTTCCTGTTTGTACTGCGTCAAGCCTTTGCCCAGGAGTGTTCAGAACGCAACGACTGACGGTTGCGAGCAGTACGACGATGCCTCGATCGACTCGGACGTGTGCCCCTTCCCAGGAGACTGGGCCAACGGGTGCCTACTTCGCCATCGCACGAACCCGACACGCCTCGTACAACTCCAGTGATTCTTGGAGAAGGGAGAAACGTGTCACCCATCTCGCGACGCATCTGGGTGGAGCCTGGCATGCAAGCAGGGCGCTACAGGCCTCCAACTGATGAAAGCAGCCGCCAGCGCCTTCAACCTTCCATCCATCTGCTCAATCGTGCTCGAAACCATCAACCTTCAGCAACAGGCATCCCCGGACTCAAGCCATCGACATGGCAGCATAGAACAAGGTCCAAAGTGTGAGGTAGTGGCTTTTGGGGAACTAGGTGGCTAGAACCTCACGCCTATTGCACGTGGTTTTAACCTGCAAGCCCAACAACACCGATGGTAAGTTATTGCTCGACCAAAGACTTAAGAAGGTGCCGACCTATACCTGCTCCTTGCCGACGGGCTTGATCTACGTCGGACGCCATCCAACAGCCAGATACCATCGGAGGCAGCAACAGACTTCGAACCAGCAAAGACGGGTGCAATTGCATGCATACGAGTCTCTGAATACGGTGCGTAAATTCCAGGTGCTCCCCAAGTCAGGGCGGCCATTACCGGGGGCAAGCATCGACCACGAGAACGTCGAGTGTCAACTACAGGCGACGCAATTGTAGCCAGGGCGCGGCGCGTGCACCATGGATTCAACATATCGAGCATCTCTTGAGAACTGACCGACAACGGTCGTCGACATGGCAAACGAGACCCTGGAAATGTGCCTTGATTATATATCGACCTCTGATGAGCACTCTCCTTTCTTTTCCTGGGTGCTGACATCTAGCCAGCAGAGAACCCCCCAATCGAAACACCCGCAACAAACGCCGACCGCGCTCAGCAGCTGAACCTGACTGCTCCTGCGAGCCAATCCTACAACACCATGGGGATCTTCGGCTTTGAGGTTGCACTTTCTGTGGATTGTGCGCGAACAACGACAGCCTATCCGACAACAATTGACTCCATTCCGTCGTTGAAAGAAGACCAACGAAGTGATCTATCATGGCAATACAGGGCTTGTC